TACATTTCCCAGGGGGCGCCGCGGCCCGGGCGGCCTGGTTGAACCCCTCACCGCCGCACCCCGGACCCCGCGAAGCTGCCAGGAGGGGCTGGACGCTGGGACCCGCCTGGTGGCCAGTTTATGGTGGGCTTGCCCGCGTGTGCGCATCCGTCCGTCCGTCGACCCGTCCGTCCGTCCATCCATCCATCCATCCATCCATTCTTGCATCCAACATTTACTGAGCGCATCCTCTGTGCCAGGTGAGGACGCTCGGATGAAATGTGACCCGCCTCTCCCAGAGGGCCCGTCTCTTACACCGACCTTGGCCGAGGCCCCCCGGGGCGGGGAGGGGGGAGAGGGGGTCCCTCAGGGGTGGAGAGGGGCCGCAGGCTGCGGTCGTAAGTGGGGGGGAGTGGCTGCCAGGCCTTGGCGCATCCTCACCCGTCGCCCGGCTCCCTGGCTCACCACAGCATTGGCCGCGCGTCATTGCGCCTTGGGTGACTGTTTTCTGCACAGGATTGAGTGAGGGAGATGGACTGGAGACAGTGGTGTGCTTGAGCCGGCTTGCACCGGAGAGTCACTTGGGAGCATATCTTCCCAACTCCATGTTCAGTGACTTTATGGCTTGTAGCTTAAAATTGGCCGTGGCGAGATTATTTACACCGTGAAATTGGGAAACATTAAGCATCAGCAATGTCCGTTCCCCAAGAGCTGGTTGTTAAACATTTACCAGCACACCATTGATTTGGGGAAATGAAAACATGTAGAAATGGAGATAAAATAGCAATTTCACAAACAGTTTTTAAAACAACAACTTCATTTTAACCTTGGGGAAAAAAAATATAGAAAAAGTGAACCTGCCCTGGCCGGTTTGGCTCAGTGGATAGAGCGCAGCCTGCAGACCGAAGAGTCCCGGTTCTATTCCAGTCAAGGGCATGTACCTCGGTTGCAGGCTCCTCCCCAGCCCCGGCCCTGGTCAGGGTCCTGCAGGACAACCAATCCACATCGATATTTCTCTCTGTCTTTCCCTCTTTCTTCCACACTTTCTTAAAAAATCAATGGAAAAATATCCTCGGGTGAGGATTAAAAACAAAGAAGAAGAAAAAGTGAACCTAAACTAGTCTATGAATAACAAGAACTGTGATAAGTGAAATAAAAAGTCAGGGTTGGCGCACCCTATCATTCTTGGACTGTGGTGTTCAGTGGCAGGGTTTTAAGTCACCTCTGACTTTTTTCCAGATTTGAGAGGGCTCAGTATCCTAAGC